CCGTTTCCATCAGGACAACGCTCGTCCACACATCGCCCGTGTAACAATCGACCTCATCAACACATTTGGATGGAATACTGTAACACACCCGCCCTACAGCCCCGAGTGACTATCATCTCTTCCCTGAATTGAAAAAACACTTGGGTGGGACACATTTCAGAACCGGAGAGGAGCTGGAAGAAGAGGTTTTACGCTACCTTCGCGGCGCAGCGGGAGAGTTCTACGATTCAGGCATAAAGAAGATGGTACACCGCATGCAAAAATGCATTGATCTCAACAGCGATTACGTCGAAAAAATAGGGGAAGGTCTAAGCTTTCCAAAAATATATTATTCAATGTCAATAAATATGTTTTTCATTGTAAAAAATCATTGGGAACCTTATTTTGGGCTATACTGTGGAGCAATAATACACCCTTCGCAGTGCGTGTTCACTAATTTGTTTGGAGATTAAATTTATATATTTTCGAGAATTCATTTTTCTTTCAAGAAATTGTACATCTGTTTTGCCTTTATATCCAATTCCAGCCCAGATCATCACACCACCCCCATCCATTTGCTTTCGTTTTTTTAGTAATCTTTCATTTCCTTAAATCGTGGTAGTAGAATGAAAATCTATCTAGACCATCCATATTAAACTTTTTTTCGTCAGTAAATAAAATTCCTTTCCATTTGTTCTTCCATTGAACACATTCAAGAAGCATTAAAAATGTTATAGAAGGCTATAGTAAATCGTGCCTATCAAAAACGCAAACGTGCGAATGATACAAAGCATTTAAAGAGGGCCGAGAAGAAGTACAAGATTTTTCGCGTGCCGGCCGACTGTCAGTGGTTTCGATAATCGTCGCCTGAGTGTTAGAGAGGTAACTCATAAAGTGGAAATGTTTCACATGTCCGTGCATAACATTTTAACCGATGTTTTGGGGATAAGACGCGTCGCTACACGACTTGTTCCGAAGGAGCTGAATTTTCAAATAAAAAGAACATCGAGAAGCATTTGCTAAGATGTGATTACACGAGCTTCTAGTGACTTTATCTTCATGAAATGCATCATAACCAGTGACGAAACATGGGTTTATGAGTACAATATGCAAACAAGCCAACAATTTTCGGAATATTGCTTTGAAAAGGAACCAAACCCTAAAAAACCACGTCAAAATCGCTCTAAAATTAAGGACATATTCACTGTTTTCTTCGATTATCGTGATGTTGTTCATTGGGAATTCCTTCCACACGGACAAACAGTAAACAAAGAATATTATTTGAGCGTCATGAGATGCTTACGTGAAAATATTCGTAGGAAATAGCCAGATGTGTGGAAAAACAATTCTTGGATCCTGCACCACGATAATGCTCTGCCGCGCATATCGAGCTTGGTGCACGAATTTTTAGCCAAAAACTCAACAAATATGATCGAACAAGCGCCGTATTCACCAGATATGGCCCCGTGTAACTTCTTTTTATTTCCGAAACTCAAATTACCCCTTCGGGAAGGCGTTCTGAGTCGCAATACGAAACAGGTGAAGACGTATTTCTTCTCAACCCGTCACGGAAGAATAAATTAGAGAAGGAATACTCAGGCCTCTACAAAATTACAAGGACCATAGAACAGAATAACGTAGAATTGCAAGAGGGTGGCAAAAACAAAAGAAGAATCGTTCATACGGACTCCATCAAGCGGGCCCATCTATCAATGAGAGATCGAGAATTTCGCAATTGCAAAAGTACGATGCGTCAAAGAGCAAAGCGAACGCTAAGAAGCCACATCGTAGCATTCAAGAAATTGTTAAAAAGGGAAAATAACACCGCAAAATGGACAGAAACGACCAGGCCAGTAATACAATACTTTGAATGGTATTTGCGTACAGGACAAGGGGTACGTCTTTATATATCACGTCACTCAATAAGTCCCCGGTCTGACACATATATGGCGATACTGGTGACAGACCCACGTTATTTTCGAATAATACTAACCTTCAAACAGTACGTGTCAAAATTTCAGGGTATTCTGACCAATAGTTTAGAAGTTACAGTCATTTTAGTACCCCCAGTTTCGTAATTTTGAAGACAATGGATAGAAAGGAATTTCGTGTGCTGATTAAATACTGTTTTTTAATCGGAAAAAATACTGTTGAAGCCAAAAAGTGACTTCATAAGCATTATAGGGACTCTGCACCAGGGAAATCAACTATCATTGACTGGTATGCTCAATTTAAACGCGGTCATACAAGCGCCGATGATGCTGAACGCTCTGGTTGCCCAAAATCAGCAGTCGTTCCGGAAAACATAAAAAATGTCCACAAAATAGTTTTAAAGAGCCGCAAACTTAACTTGTGTGAGATAGCTGATGCCTTGAAGATATCAGAAGATAGTGTCTTCACAATTTTGCATGAAAATTTAGGCATGTGCAAATTGCTTAAAAAATGTTTCCTGTTTTACGAAGGCAATGCGCCGTGTCACAAGCGTTCCGGAAAACATAAAAAATGTCCACAAAATAGTTTTAAAGAGCCGCAAACTTAACTTGTGTGAGATAGCTGATGCCTTGAAGATATCAGAAGATAGTGTCTTCACAATTTTGCATGAAAATTTAGGCATGTGCAAATTGCTTAAAAAATGTTTCCTGTTTTACGAAGGCAATGCGCCGTGTCACAAGTCAATTGAATGAATTACGTTTTGAATTGTTTTCCCACACACCGTACTCCCCAGATTTGGACCCCAGCGACTACTGCCTCCTTGCAGATATGAAAAAAATGCTCCAGGGAAAGAAATTTGCCTCCAATGATGAAGTGATTGCAGAAACTGAAGCTTATTTTGGGGGCAACGACAAATCGTTTAATATAAAGGAAATTGAAAAGTTAGAGGAGCGTTGGAATCAATGTATCACACTGGAAGGAATGTATATTGATGATTAAAGTGGAATTTCTAAAAAAAAATTTGTTTTTCTTAGTTAGACCGGAGACTTATTGAGTGACGTGTTATATGTACATATGCGACAGATTAGACCTAGACAGAAAGCACATCACGGTAGACGAAAATATTTTATTCCTAAAAATTTACATGATTGCACGCATGTTTTTATTAGAATCGACACTGTAAAAAAACCTCTGGAGCAGCCATACGAAGGGCCGCATACAGTTATAAAACGTATCACGGATACCATTTTCGAAGTTGTACTTTCGATAAAACGGTTGAACCCAGCGTTCATTGAAAAAGATACTCCTAACCTCCCAAGAACATATTCCAGAACAGTTTTGTAGATAAAAATAGAGCGCTTTGTATCGCTTGTAATAAAACTATTAGATGCTGCAAAACCGATGTAGGCAATCACGAAAAAACAAATTCACATCGTAGAAATGTAAATTCACTTGATACAAATGATAGCAACAATAATGTCAGTGCGAGTAGTTTATTGCATACAGACACAGTGAAACGAGCTGAAATTAAATTATACACATTTTTCGCTGAACATAATGTAGCATTTTGTACCGTAGATCATTTAATACCGTTGATAAAAGCTATTTGTATTGAACCCGAATGTGTAAAAATTGTAAAAAATGTAATTGCCAAACGCGAAATTGAAAACATAATTGATTGTCTAAAAATGTGCAGATTTTTTATTTTAATTGATGAAAGTACAGATATTTCCGACACAAAATTAATGTGCGTGCTGGTGAGATAGTATCACCACTAAATGGTAGCATTATAACTCAGTTATTAGAATTATTACAATTAGATGCTACTGATTATTCCGCGAGTAAAATTTTCCAAATTTTCAAAAATTCTTTAGAGGAAAAAGTAATTCCTATTAAAAATATTATTGGAATGACGTATGATAATGCGCCAGTTATGATCAGCCGTAATAATTCATTTATGCCGCATTTGAAAGTAGAAGTTCCAGAATTAATTAAAATAAATTGTATTTGCCATTCTGCCGCTCTTATAGCTGGTCACTCTTGTGATCAATTGCTTTCAGCATGTGAAAATTTAATTAGAGGAGATGCCACTTATATTTCGGGCAGTGCAAAGAGATGTGCAATTTTGGTTGAATTCCAAGCTTTTTTCTAAGTTCAACGATTAAAAATTTAAAAATTATCAAATATTAGATGGCTTTGCCTACATAAATGTATTATTAGATTATTAGATAATTGGGATGTTTTAAAAAGTTACTTCATTTTAGCAGCAATAGAGGAAAAATCTAGTTTCGCGGAAAGTATTTTAGATTATTTCAACAACCCCACGATTAAAGCCTACATACTTTTCCTTAAACATTCTTTATATTTTTTAATAATTTCAATGGCCTGTTTCAGGCCTGCAGTATTTTAATACATAAATTATTTGAAAATAGCATAAAATTTGTTCACCAAATAGGGCAAAATTTTATCAAAATTGATGCGTTAATAAAATAATTTTAAGAAAAACAAATACGCCGACTTCGAAATGCACTAAAAAGTATAAAATAATTTCTATTTCCTAATGAAGTAATTTCTATTTCATTCAATCATACAATTACGTCACAGGTATGAATGAAACCTATTTACTCGTTAGATAGTATATTAAATACATTTCAACCTTTTCGGAGGCGGCGCATAATTAAAAATACCTCAGTAAACGTTGCTTACGTTATGTTTACTTTCAGCTTCTATTTATTTTATTCAATATTATTTTTGCAATTTTCACTTATATGTTTACTTATAGCTTCTATTTTGTATTATTTGTGCAATATTCTTTTGATTCCTTTTACTCTTATTATTTTGTTGTTTATTATTTTATAATGCTAAGAGAAACATTGTGCCAAATATAAATTGTGATATTTTAAGTTATTTTATATATTCTATTATAAATTGTTTTTTAGTTTTATTAATGTTGAATATTATGAATATAATTTTTGTTTTATGAATACTGATAAGGTTTTTGATCCTAGCAACAAATGTTGGTATTCTTTTATTGATTCTGTCCAATAAAATATTTTATTTTTATATTATATATTTTGCTTACAGTTATTTTAGTACCCTTCCTTTTCATCTGCTTCTCAAGTATGGAAATATGTATATAATGTTTCGATTTATGTGTTCTTCCTGCTTATTACAGATAAATATTTTCATTAAAATGTTTATAACATTAATAGGATTAACATTCATACTTATAAAAAATAAATTTTACAAATGTTCAAAAAGGGAAACAATAATACACTTACCATATACTTATTTATACTTACTTTCCTGCAACAGTATATTTTGGAATAATTTACTTACTTACCCTTGTTCGGATTACGACGACCAATACAAATTTCTGAAATTTCCCAGTTCCACTTTAGCAACGTATAAAAAACCAAGAAACAACAGCAGCACACTGTTCAAATTCTCAGCTCTTTACAGGACTACCAAAATCAGCTTTTCAGAAATACCAAATCCTTTAAACGAAGAACATTTCAGTTCAAATTATTAAAAGTCAAATAAATGAACTTATACCTTCGGCTAAAAGTTTCATTGGCCATAGAAACCCATGCTCCGTATAGCAACGACAGGTACCGCGGCGGATTTATATCTGTTTGCTGGACCTTCCCTGGCTACCGATGAAACAATAAACATCTGATATTGTTCAATTGTTAAAAACGTCACAGATTATCGCATGAAAAGGGCTGACTCTCTTCGAAAACAAATCTGAAATTATTTCTCCGTAAAAAGTAGGAGAAAATTGTACATGTAATACGGCATGTTTGCGCCGTAACAGTGTAATTGCTAACAGAAAATCGCTACATCAGTCATATCAAATAACTAATAAAAGAAATAAGAAATTCGGTTATGCCTTATTTACAGAGAGGGGATAAACTAATTATTTGTTATTAATTTAAATCAAGTAAATCAAATTTGTTGAATACTTACATTTGTTATTCGAAAGGAAAAAGAAATTTTTCTACAAAGATGCAAAAAAATGCGCACATTTTGAATGAAAAATAACTTTTCTACTCATCAGGAAAAATTAAAATCTAATAATTAGTAAATGTATTAACACTTGTGTACCTTAAGTTCTCAAAAAATGTAAAAATAATTTAAATCAGACTTACCTACTGTTTAAAAAATTCTACCTCCGGTGAAAATATATCTTCGTGACTGGATTGTTTCGCTGGTCTTAACCTACCGTAAAACAGGTACTCATTATATAACAGCTGATGTCACAGCCGGATGAGTGAACTTTGCTTCGCTAACACTTTTCATTACCACTTTTCACTACAATATTTTTTTGTCACTTTTAAGTAACTTCCTACTATAATAACCATGGATAAACAAGCGAAAACGCGTAAAAGATTATTATGCAAAAATAACTTGAATGATTCTTTCATTCTCTTTAATGTTGTGCTTTGAACGTTTTACCCTAAACTGGTGTTCGTAACACAATCGGATTCCTTCGATTCATCTTTCTTTTTCTCTTCACAGTGACAAACATTGTTTCCCAAGGGACTGTTACAAGAAGGCGTAGAAACTTGCATATGTTTTTCCTTCAAGGACGTTAATCGCGTTACTATCAGTAGTTCGGGATACAGCGTCCTGTACTGAAGTCTCCTTGCTATTGGCATATTGCGAAAAAGTAATATTTCTCCATGATTTCTTTGAAATTCCATGAAATTCGCCATGAACGTTAATTTATGTCGATACAGAGCACGAGCTTATTATTTTATTCTTAAAATTTCACGAACAAGAAACTAAAGTTTTAAATAGAAGAAAATTTGCCACGGATTATTTTAGCAAAATCGGGCTCTATACCGAAATAGATTCGAGTTCTGAAAATAATCTGCGAAGAAAATTATGAAAAAATATTACTTTTTCTCAAAATTCCACTGGCGACGGAAAATGGTATTTTCTATATTTCTGATAACTAGATATTTACTGTTTTTGTCACTTCTAAATAGTAAAAACATAAGTTAGACAAAGGTTGTTCAGGTTTTTTATCACTAGATTTGAGACTAAACAAGAGAATTAACTCGTACTGATTTTAAGATCTACACAGCTAACGGTACGGACATAGAAATGTTTGAGACAACCAAATTGACACCTCGAATTACGGCATCCATTTCTATGGAATGGTTCTAACCGAATATAGTAGTCAAATGTGCCCTTAATTTTGAAGTGATTTGATTTTTTCATGTTATGTTCTTCATTTTTTGAATCGCTTGTAAATGTTTTTCAATAATTGTTATACATTTCTATTTTCACAGGGTACAAAAAACCTACATTTAATACTATTCATACAGAATAATATTTAATATAATAGTATATATAATACTATTACTTTTTACCCTATAAATTATATTAAAAAGCACTTTGAATCAAATACTAATATTATTACAAAAGTAAAAAAAATATGAAAAACATAACATGGAAAAAAACGAAGTCCAGCGGAGCTAGAACCTGCGATCAAAACATATGTACATACATATTACGAAGTAAGACTCTTAACCTCTTTGCCAATATTTTAGTTAAAGTAACGCCTTACATTTCAGAATACAACCAATTACGTAGTAGAATTAATTAATAAATGAATTTTATTTCCTTAACTAATGTATCATTTCTATCAATTATGAATGTAAATCTATTTAAGATTACTTAATGAATATAGTAAGAAAAGAAAACATGCAAATTCGGAGCTGAACGTAGTTTTTTAAAGGAATATATCGGCTTTTAATTTTTTTTAAGTACGGCACACCTAAGTTACCAATATCTAACTACCACATTAATGCAAAAGTAGTGCTCCGTAATCTTCAATAAAAAATAGCATACTTTTCGATTTTTGATTTTTCACCACCACAATTTGCGACTAAAAAATTTGAAAAGATTCTGTAATATACGCTATGTAGACCTCAATGTTTCAGAATTTTTATGCGAAATTAAATAGGAAAAATAGGCCAAAAACTGGAATCTTGTTTTTTTCCTTTTACTATCTCTACAAATGAGATAGGAGGTTGAAACTTGGTGTAGGATGTTTTTGGCTTGAGGGCACATTTGACTACCTAATTCAACTAGACTTTTTAATATACCAAAGATTGTACCAACATAATACTTATGCTAGACACGCAATGAAAAATTCATGAACTGATGAAACTAAATTCTCTTACACGCTTTGCAATTTCAATTCGTATCAAAGTCCTTTAAAACAATACATTAGGATCACATGACCAATATCACAAAAAAATGGATCAAAGCATAAAACACCACATTGTCACTAAAGTATAGTATTATATTGTAACAAACTCGTAGGATCCTTTTGGAAAAAAGTGTAAGCAGTACAAACAAAAATTAATCATTTCCTTGCTCAAAGGATTTATTGTCACTTTTGTAGATCTTCATGACCAAGAGGAACAATGATTGATTTATTAGCCTCACATTACTAGACAAGCATTCAATACTCCACATCCAAGACTTCATTTATAGACTAGACAAAATGACAATATTCACAACCCTGGATTTAAAAAAAATATATCACCACATTCAGGTTGCATTAAAAGACTGGCAAAAAGCAACCATAATAATTGCATTCGGTATTTTCAAATATAATGTAATAACTTTTGGCCTAAGAAATGCTGCACAGTCCTTTTAAAAATTTATTGACAACAAGAAATGCTGCACAGAAACAGACCTCTATCAGCTAAACAGTCTATTAAATGGATAATTGATATGGAAAATTAGTAAATGCACCTTTGCTGGCACATCCCAAAATTAATATACCACTACTTTTTATTACAGATGCTTCTGGATTAACAAGTGGAGCTGTGCTCCATCAAAAAGTTAATGGAACATGAAAACCCCTCAATTCTCATCCAAAGAACAATAGTATAGCACCTACAACAGGAAGCTTACTAACATTTTTAAGCCAATAAAAAATTTCAAACATTTTATCAAAGGATGCTACTTCACTATTTAGACAGACTACAAACCACTTATGTACAATTTCCTTCAAAGATTTGACAAAGCAGCATTGAGACAACTATGACGAATTCACTATATTGGACAGTTTACTATAGACATTACACATATTCCAGAATCTTCCAATGAAGTTGCTGATGCTTTGTTGTAATTGGATATGATCAAGATATCAGTTGTGTTGAACACCCAGCAACCATCCAATGAACAAAAAACTGACTCAGAATTGATACAATTACTGCAGGGTAATATATTGCTACACCTAAAACAATTAAGACTAAACGATACAGAAGAAACTATTTATTGTGGAGTCTTGAATGAACAACATTAACCATATGTATCAGCAACATTGACAAAACAAATGTTTAAGAGTATGTATAATATTACTCTTTATACCCCAGTAGTTGGACAAGTCACAATAACAATCTAACCATCGACAAACTTGCGTGGCTCAAAATAAATAAGAATATCGTACAATGTACTAGGACCTGCATTTCTTGACAACACAGTAAAATCACCAAGTATGTAATAAATCCTAACCACTGTATGGTTGTTTCAAAAGAAAGATTTAAATATATGTACATTGACATTATTAAGTGCTTTATCATTGATAGATAGCTACGAGTATTGCTTGACATTGATCGATAACTTTTGTAGGTGGCCTCAGATAATCCCAATTCAGAACATATCAACTAACACAGTGGCTGCAAATTTCTGTGCCTTTTGGATAACAAAATTGGAAGCCCTAACCACAATAACTATGCTCATAATCTGAAGGAGCAGGTTCAAGACTCTTACCAATTTAATAGAATATAAACGTATACATACCACAGCATATCATTCAAATGGTGTAGTAGAAAGATAATACAGATAGCGTCAATAATGTACCATAAAAAGGCAATTGGGTTACAATTCTTCCAACCGTGTTACTCGAATTGAGATGCACTTTTAGAAAGGATACTAGCTCAATAGCAGTGTATATTGAATACATTTTAAGTGACATCCATCAGTGCTTTCGACACACCGGTTAAAACTTGTGTTTATAGGAATTCATAAATTGACTAACCTGCCAAAGATATATACAAGAGTGACCGTGTCTATTTTACCGGGACAAGTTTGGCGGGAACACAGACTACATACTGAACCAAAGGTGACACTCCCTATCGGCATCTTTTGTCTCTCGAAAACGTTGTCCCTTTTGTTGTATTTCTTCACGATGTATTTAGGGAGTTTTCAGCGTTGTTCAATTCTCAAGAAGTGCCACAAGCGCTTGAATCATTCTCCGTTTTAATTAAATTAAACAAAAGAATTAATATTTAAAAATAAATTTAATAAACGTGAACAATTAAATTAAACTTTATAACTTCTTTAATTGAGTTTAGATAAAATCAACTTTTAAACTAATTAAATTACATTGGATTTTACAAACTGAATTTTAATATTTGAGACTCTATGTCCCGTTTCTGTTTTGCCTCCGAATCGTTCGAAGCGACGATGTCTATGAGCGGAAAATACTGGAAATAAACTAGACAACTCGCGTCGCGTCATCTATCGACTAGATATAGAAATATACCTAAACTCTATTGCTTACCTATTCCTATTCCTATTCCTATTACCCGCCAATTCTTGGCAGAGAAATGACGCGAAGGCATCGTTGCCGGATTGTTACGCTGTTGCCATATCTATCAATCTATTTCTCGACATCAAGCAACTTGTAGGAATACGGGCTCGAACCAAGTTTCCTAATCACAGCGAACGCGACAGGAGGAAAGAGAGAGGGGATGATCAAAAATGCACTTGCAGCAAATTAATCATCCAATACGTTAGTCGATAGCATATCAAAAATAAAATAATTTTAAGAAAAAAAATACACCGACTTCGAAATGCACTAAAAAGTATA